AAGTGCATAAGGCTGAGAGACATCAAAAGATAGTTTTAGATGATAATGCAAGTTAGGATAGAAAGTGAATTAAGTACATTTTAGACTCACCAAGATAGGATAGATATGGAGTATTTTCTGTGAATGTGTTAATTATTAATGGACTAGACAGTATTGATGGAATTATTGCCCCTATATATTATATGTAGTTATTGTACTTATTGTATATAGTTTTCTTATATTAGTTATAATCTTTTTTATTTTATACAAAAAAGAGTAAATGTGGTGATATTTTGTGTATGCTCTAACAAGGAAAGCTTGCCTGAAGATCAGAGGGTAAAACCAGCCACTAGTTAATCATAGAGGCCAGGCAGTAGTGGCACACACCTTTAATCCCAGCCCTTGGGATCTCACGCCTTTAATCCCAGCACTATGGAGATAGAGACAGGAACTGATACAGCTGGGCAGAGAGAAGAACATAAGATAGGAGGAGACAGGAGCTCAGTTCTTTTGGCTGAGGAGTTGGTGAGGTGGGCGGTGGCTGTGGTTTTTCCTTTGTTTCTCTAATCTTTCAGCATTTACCCCAATATCTGGCTCTGGGTTTTTATTAAGACCAATTAGATTTCGTGAAGCATAAGAGGTTTATTGTGGGGACAGCAAAAGGCCATCTCAGAGAGGGGACATGAGAGAGACAGAGACAGACAGACAGACCAGAAAACAGAGAAAAAGAACAAGAGAGATAACTGGAGACCAGTCTGTGATGGCAGGGACCTTTTAAAGGATTGGCAACTTATGATGGTGTAGCTCGCTGCTGGTGCTGAGTCACTGTAGGCAGACTACAGGAGAGCCTGATTTCCAACATTCCTCCCTTTTATATATTATAAAAGATGAAGAAATAGGAAGGGGTGATGATGAGGCAGGAATGGGGGTGCCCTGCTCTTCAGACTGTTTCCTGTTGTCTGGGGGGCATTGACATTTTTGGGAACCCAAGAAAGCTAGGATGTTGGCCAAGTCCTGGAAGACTAGGCTGCTTCACTCACTATCCAGGCTCTGCAGGACCATCTGGGACTAGGGAAGTACAGGCAGTGTCTGTGAGGCTGGACCACCTGGGGCTAGCTGCTTTGAAGCTATCCAGGATGCAGATCTTGAAGAAACTCCCGGACCTGACAGAATGCTGGAACAGATATATATTAGGAGCAGAAGGAGTTTAGGGAGAAATTTTTCCTTGGAAAAATTCTCAAATTCCATTGGAAACTTTTAGGCCCATGGTCCTGGTAGTTGAGGGAAGGGAGTCTCAAGACCAGGGAAAAGGGGAGAGTTCCTATCCTCAGGAATAGGCAGGTGGGGAAACATGCTGTTGATTGACAGTACTTATCGGAGTTCATTTGACCCATGAGAGGTAGATTCAAGCTGATTCCCTGAAACTTACAAGTATTTTTTCATTTTACAAGAAGAGATAAGTTTTAGATATGTTAGCATTACCACCGTTCGTAATCTACTGAAATCCACATTGTTGAAAAGGCAGTAGACTCACACCTTTGTGTCATAGTAGATGCTTGAGAAATGATTTCGGGTTAAAAGAGTGACCACTCAGGATTGGAGAGATGGCTCAGCAGTTAAGAGCACTGCCTGAGCGGGGCGGCTGTAGCTCACACCTTTAATCCCAGAACTCAGGAGGCAGAGCCAGGTGCATCTCTGTGAGTTCGAGGCCAGCCTGGTCTACAGAGAGAGCTCCAGGACAGGCACCAAAACTACACAGAGAAACCCTGTCTTGAAAAGCCAAAGGGGGGGGGGGGGGAGCACTGACTGCTCTTCCAGAGGTCCTGAGTTCAATTCCCAGCAACCACATGGTGGCTCACAACCATCCGTAATGAGATCTGGCTCCCTCTTCTGACTTGCAGGTAGAACACTGTATACATAATAAATAAATCTTGAAAGAAAAAAGAAAGAGTGAACCTTCTTTAAGGCAAGCCCTGGGAGGACAGAAACCTCCAGTGGAACAGAAGGGCAAAAGCTTGATTGATCTTGATTTTCAGTATGAATACAGACATGAAAGCTGGGCCTCTTCCCTCTATCTAGAAGACTGGGTGTATACAGATTAGACAGACATTTTTAGCAAAATGAGTAGCACTTTTTTTTTGTTTTTTGTTTTTTTTTGTTTTTCGAGACAGGGTTTCTCTGTGTAGCTTTGCGCCTTTCCTGGAACTCACTTGGTAGCTCAGGCTGGCCTCGAACTCACAGAGATCCGCCTGGCTGGAGTGCTGGGATTAAAGGCGTGCGCCACCAACGCCCGGCGAGAAGCACTTTTAAGTCTATACTTAGAAGACAATCAAAGGACATTGAAAATCTTGAGCTTGTGACTGTGATAATAGTAATCAGTGCTTTAGCAGCAGAGCTGGATTAATAGTTTATCAGAACTCTGTTGATTAGTGTTAGAACCCAACAGTAGCACAGTGAAAGAAATGTGAAACATCTTTCACTCTTTTTTATACCTTAAATCACTTTCCTATCACAACTTAAGCTTTCACATCCTCAGATCTTTACAACTTTCATTTACACACCTTAAAACACTTTCTTAGATCCCAAAACATTTTCTTAGAACTTCACAACTTAAGCTGTCTTCAGTCCTTACATAAACTTTCGCCTTTTTTCTATCCAATCATTCATCATGAGACATAGGTGGTTGATAACTGAGGGCCGTCACTGTAAAGTGAGTGTCTTTAAAATAAAGGAATTGTTAAAAGTTACTTTGAAATCCGTTTTGTGAGTTTATCTCTTTTCTGAGTTTGGTAACAAGGTGAACTGTGTCTAGACCTAGTAGTAGCTCTAGGGAAGTGAAGCCTGACATTTAGATATGAAGAGACTAAGAAGGCAGCTGAAGTCTTGGCTTCTGCTGTTAAACTCACAAAGCTACCTATCACTAGCCCACTAGCCTAGTTGTCAACACCATCAAAGATCTAAGGATGAATTTCACCAAGACAGCAGGAAGTACTGAACAAGAAGCCTCCAAGTCTATTAAAAATGACAGAGACTTACCAGTTACCTGGACAATCACCTTAGGTTCCTCCATGGTTGTTGGGGACAAAAGTCCCAGGGCAGCAACATTCTTTGGCCACCAGACACAGAAGATCTGACAGACCTTCCTGTGGAGTAGCAACTTGGTGTGTGTGTGTGTGTGGGGGGGGGGTCAGCTTACCTTGTCTAAGCAAGACAAGGCAATCAACTTACCAGTGTCCTGCTTGTCCACAGTCTGGACAGGGTCTTGGCAGCAGGCAACATGAAGGGCAGTTTTTCACCCATTGGCTGGCTTTGCCAGGCTAAAAGCAAGCTTCAGGTGGAGTTCTTCTGTGCCCCATCATCTTCTTTGGAGGAGATTAGGGGTGCTGCCAGGAGCTGGCATTTCTTTCTATCATGAAAAGCTTTATTAT